AGAATTTAAAAACGTAATTATTTATGTTTCTGTTTAAACTAAATATATTTAAATTATTTGTTACATCTTTCGGCCTTTGCGTTGCCAACTTACTTTAAAACCAGGAATCACCAGAATTGGAATAAGTTGGCAAAATTAAAAGTCTTTTGGTCTTTGCGTTAATCCAATGTTGCCAACTTATTTGAAAAACACGAGCTACTTTGACTAGAATTGGAATAAGTTGAAAACATTAAAAATATTTCGGGTTTTACGTTAATCCCATGTTGCCAACTTATTTCAAAACCATGAGCCACTTTGACTAGAATTGGAATAAGTTGGCAACATGAAAATCTTTCGGCCTTTGCGTCAATGCTGTCACTTGCCATTTTAACCAGAATTGGAGTAAGTTGGCAAATGTAAAAATCCTTGGTCTTGGAGTTAATCCAACTTAATTTTTTTTGCCTCGAAATTGAGTAACTTTTCTGTTGCAGCGGATTTTGGAGAGCAAACGCGACAAGCTGCAGGAGCAGCTGGAGGAGGCGAAGAAGCTGAAGGAGTGCATCGACCGGCGCAGTGTGAGTGTCTCAAACATCCTTTACAAGTACTTGAACTCGGAGGAGTACACCGACTACGACCACTTCATCAACATGAAGGCGAAACTAATAATGGACTCGAAAGAGATCGCGGATAAGATCAAATTGGGAGAGGAGCAGTTGTTGGCGTTGAAAGAAACTCTAATTGTCGCAGACTGATTTAAGTTTTAGTGTAATGCTTTACCATTCGAGTTTTATCGAATGTGCCTAGTCCAGTGACATTTCCTTCGCTTTCACGAATCCATCTTGTGTAATATACTTTTACATATATTTTTTAGTTTACGGTATTTGTAGTTTATGTTAGTGGTACTTGTAATTGTGGTATTTTGAATATTTCGTTCGGTTCGTTTCGATTTATTTGATAATACCAACACCGTAGGGTCAACCTCGCAATATCTACTAAGGGCTTGTGTCGGTAGATTGACTGCTCCACTTGGCGTCTCTTACCATTTTCACAAATGGCTATGACGGCGGCGTCGGGGCAGAATAGGCTGTTATGTCGTGCATTTTCATATTTAGTTAAAACATATTTATAAGTGCAAATATGGTAATCGTGTGAATGAGGAAGGCCCCACATTATTTGCAGCGATCTTATTTCGTTTATTTATTGCCCATTAGTCATTTGAAGGAAAATTCAGTGCTGTGGATTTTGTAGGGTTACCTTCTCGTGTAAGACATTACCTAATACATCTTCCTACCAAGTATTTAATTGTATCTTAGGTGTACAAATCTAAATTATAACTCAATGATTTTTGTTTCGTTTACTAAGAGAGCAATTGTATATAGTCTATTTTTTCTATGTATTTAAAATCGAAAATGGTGCTCTGGAAATTTTTTATGTTTTTTACTAAGTTGTTAGGTACATTGTGATTTTTTCGTTTATACTGAAACTGAGTCGTATGTATTTCTACATATTTTAATATATCTGTAAGTGTGTTATTTACCTGCATACAATTTCAAGATAGATTATTTTAAGCTTTATGCATCGCTTGCAATAAATAATTGAATAACGTTTATCGACTTGTTTTCTTCTCATTCTTCACCAAAAGGATGTCTGCCTATTTTACTATGCAATAAAGTTTTTAAAAATATTTCACATTTATTATTTTACCAAAAAATTTGCTGAAGTCTGTTTATCTTCCCTTTGACTTGCCTCAAAAGAGTGAAAAATACAGATTAAAAATATAATTTTAAAGGAAAACAAATCTTTAACACATGCTATGAAACATGACCATTAAAATAAAATTTACAATCATTGACATCAGTTGACATTGGAGTAATTTATTTTCAAGTTTTTTATCAATGAAAACTAACCCCTGATTATAAAATTCAGCGCAAAATAATATAAAACACTCGTTATGTTCAAGGAATCTTTTGTTATTCAACTCGACTGCGCGGTTCATATTAAAAACTCTGTTTTTTGTTTTTGCATACTATAAAAGGAAATTTCAACTAAATGTTCTAAGAACATATTAGGCTCAGAACGACTTGGAAGTTTAATAAAAAAAATATCGTTGATTTAGTTTTTTATAATCAAGTAAGCACTAAAATTATATGCCTACCAAATTTAACTCAAAAATAAGGCCATTTTGGATTCAAATCTCTGATTTTTTAGCCTGTTTGAATAAACTAAGCCAATTTTTAACAAAAAAAGTAAATTTTTATCTCAAAGTAGCAAAAGCAACATATTTAAAATTAAATAAAAAATGTCATTTTTGTCTTGTTCGAACGAAACTTTTAAGTCAATTTGATCCGAGGTTTGACTTTAATTCTGACATTTTTGACTAAAAATTATAATAGGGGATAATAATAAATCAAAATCTTTCTCAGGCTTTTTTCTTTTATTGGGAACGACCGGTTTCGGCTTAGGCCATCTTCTGGTTTCAATACTATTAACAAGATTTGTCAGTTTTAAAAGAATTATTATAACAAACACTTTAAAATCAAAAATTAATAATTAATAAAATTACACAAAAGAAAAAAATTAAAACCACCCTTTAATCCGTTTATTTAAATCCCATACGCCAAGTGAGTATTTAGTTAAAAAAAAATAAGTAATTTTTTTTGGGTATTAATGTTAATGCAACCATACATACACGCTCGTAATTGTAGTTAGCTAATTAAAAAAAAACCTAATATTAATAAATCACTTTGCCGTACATTTATTTAGGTGTTGAATCCGTCTCAAATTTGTTTTATTCAAATACATGTCATCAACTGACGCAAAATTCTATAAATGTAAACATTTTTCTTAAAAAAAAAACAAAGTGCAAAATAGTTAAAATAATACATATAAACAAAACACTCTGACTAGTTGTGGTCGGGCAAATCCTCTCATATTTACAATGTTTTGTAGAAGTAGTCGTTGAGACAGCCGCTTCATGGCCCCTCGTGTAGAACTCATACCATCTGATTCGGAAAATGTCAAAATTGTCGGGGGCTTCGCCCTCAAGTATCACTATGTGCTTCAAAATTGACTGAGGCTTCGCCCCCCGAGTAGAACTAACAATACCGGATTTGCAAATGTTTTTTAGAAATTCTGGGGCCTCACACTCTCGAACTTGCAAATGTTATATCCATTTATAACTGTACTTTGTAGAAAATTAGAAATATTTGTTGGCATCTAGGTATTATTTTGGCAACGTCTAACTTGGAAACTTCATTAATCTGAATTTTTAGATTTTCCTTAAAAAGAAAAACAGACCTTATATTTTCATTAAATCATTTTTATCACCGTCTTTCCATCTTTTGGTTTTGCAATAAGAGCCACAAATTTAGAAATCAGATTTCTCAAGCGTGCGCATGCGCGATATTTAAATTTGTACAAAACACTGAAATAATTTTGGGCCATTTTTCTCTACAAAACTCTACTCTTACTACTTTGTAGAATTATGATCAAATTTTTGTTTTTTAGGTACTTTCACTCAATCTCTACCTTTCGCCGTTTTCTACTTTTAGTGCTTTTAATTTTTACACGGGTTGTAATCGAGTCATCTTTGAATCCGAAAACGTATGTCTGTGAAGTCAAATAAAATGACAAGTCGGAGGGTAAAACAACATGATCAAAAAGATGATGATTTTAATAACTAAATTTATGATTTACCTTCAAAAAAGATCGGTCCTATGATTACGTCGGCTAATCCAGCCCATTCTGCCATTTTACCTTTTGACTTGTCATTTTAATTGATGTTTCACGTGCAGTTAGTTCAAAAACAGACATACGTTTTCGGATCCAAAAATGACTCGATTACAAATTATCTTGATCTCTCGATATAAATAAAATAATGTCATTTTGGATTCAAATTTATGATTTTTTGACTTGTTTGAGAAAATTAAGCTAGCGCTCAACAAAAAAGAAAATTTAAATTTCTTTTTTCGGCTGAATTTTAAAATTTTAGAGTAATTTTTTTTTCATTTAATTAAATTTAATACGATATAAGTAAGCCTTCAGTTCAAAAAGAGAAAAATTAATACTTTTATTTTTTTTAGATAATATTTAAACATGCTTATGCAACTTCATATACACGCATGTAATTATGGTTAACTAACAATAATTTTTTTTTGCCAAACAACTAATAAATCACATTTATTTAAGTGTTGAAACTGTCTCAGATTTGTTTTATTCAAATATGTATCATCAACTGACGCCAAATTGTCTAAAAAGTTTTATTTTTTTTTCTTTAAAAACAAAGCGCAAAATAAAAAAAAATGTGTAAAACTCTGAATGAAGAACATTTTTTAGTTGATTTAGATTTTTATTAGCATATAAACACAGTTTTAAATAACTCATGTACAAAATTTAATTCAATTCTGTTATTTCTGTTACTTCTAATAGCATCTCTAATTTTGCTTTTCTATGTTACATGTTTTTCCACTTTTAAAACTGTGAAATAAAAGTTTTATTAAAATTTTCTCAAATGATTTATTTTATTTCCATAGTACGCATATTTACAGCATATTTTTACGTAGTTTTAAAATACATTTCAATCATTAACAATAATTAGCACCAGAATCCTAACAATACAATGTTGATTATTTCTTAAACAAACATCACCCATTGCCTTTTTACACCTACATCCTTAATTATCACTCCTTTCGGTGCTTGTCGAAGAACTACCAGCCTCTCTCACTCGTCTGGACCCATCCTTTTGGGCTGAAGACGTCGGTTTCTGCCCATTTTTAGCAGGAAGTGGTGCTGGTCGCGTCTGGACTTTAGCCTGACTTCCTGGATGGGTGGTATCCCTCACACGTCTACTCTCAGTTTGTGATGGGTATTGCGAGGTTCCTAGTTGGCGTTGAGGGGGATTTTGTTGGTAGGTTTGAGGGTTCGAGTTTTGTTGAGATTGAGGTGTGGGCACTCCGGAGATAAAGTGAGTGGTGTCTCTCGCTGGCCTGCTTTGAGTTGAAGGGTTTTGTGCCCCTAATTGAGGCTGTTGGGGGTTTTGTTGGTAAGTTTGAGGGTTAGAATTGGGTTGAGACTGGGGTGAGGGTACTCCCGAGATGAAGTGTTGGGTGTCTCTCGCTGGTCGACTTCCAAATTGGGGTTTGCTGGTGCTGGACTGCGAATTAAGGGTGTCTTTGGTTTGGGTAGGGGGTGGTAAAGGGATGTCACGGGAGACTCGTTTAATATCGGCTTTGTCTTCATCGGATTCCTGTAGAGACAATCATCGTTAGAAAAGTGTTAAAAGGGAAGAATTCCTACCTTGGACTCGTCTTTTTTGTTCAAAGTGGCTGGTAAAGGGCGGATTCCCACAGTGGTGCTTTCAGAATGCTCGTCAAGGGGGGCGCTGTGGAGGACAGCGATGAGAGTTGTTACAACAAATAATTGCAATAGCTGAAAACATAAAATTGATGATTTGGTTCCCAATGGTAAAAAATACACTTACTAGACCCATTTTGGTGGTAAAACTAAACTGAAAATGAGAAAAACCGAACGCTTTATATAGATGATGTTTTTACCATGTCACAATGTCATTGGTGTTAAAGACGAGATATTAATTAAACGCTAATAACTTTGAGTCACTTAAGCACATAACGTCTGTAAATATTTTCAATCAATTATTCTCTTAACGTCTAAGGTAAAAATCATTAACTAATAGAATTTTCCAGGATATTGTTGTTTTAAAATTGCCGTTATGGAACTTTTTTTTATTAAAAAATAACTTTCCACACATGTGGACCAATTACCAAACGCTAAACATATTTTGTGTTAGTTTCACAGAAGATATTTTGTGCTCATCCTCGATGGTGTGTGTAGTGTACAAAGCAAATCCTTCTTATTTTATTATCAAACAGCACTTTATTTTTCAAAATATGTAATTATCGACACTTTTAACTCTATTTTCTCCACAATAAACAAGCCTATTTAGGTATTTACTATGTATATTGTAATTGTTTTGTGTCAATAAAATGTGTGGTTTGCATGAGGGGCAAACGTATAAACAATTAATAAAATTTAAAATTGCATTGGCCTAAATAATGGTTTTCTTCTTCCCACAAGACCAAAACTTTCTTATCAGCGAAAAAGCTAATGGCAAGAATAAAAAAAATATGTTTGATTGAATGGCAACAATGTTTACAATAGGTTCTTGATAATAATTTTGTAATAGCAAAATTTTGAATCGCTGCAGTAAAAATTTACATAAAGTTTTGTTTTTTATTTACACGCAAATTACCAAGTGAAATTTTTCGTGAAAAAATTGGCAGCAACTTATCTTCAAAGCGACAACTTGGGTTTATTTTTTATTATTATTCTTTTAAATTTCTTTAAATAGTTATAACTATTTTCATGTTGAAATGTTGTCAAAATTTTGAGTTTTGTAGATTTTGTGTGCACGTCTGCCTTTTGGAAGCATTACTCTTAGCGGTACCAAATTTTTCTTTGTTCTTGTTTTTTCACTTTTTTGTTCATTTTTTGCTAATATTTAATGACATTTCTTTCAAATTAAAGTAAAAATAGAAACTGCCAAGTTCTTTTATTGCAATTACCATGAATAAATAAACCTGCTAGTGTGCCAACGCCAAGACTCTTAAAAAACAGACTGTACTTAAAGTAGAAAAAGCTAGTGAATTTTTAAATCGATAAAAATGTTTGATTAGGGAAACAAATTAAAAAAATTGAGTCTGGCAAAAATTTTCCTGTGGGTTTATAGTATATATTCAATAAGTTGAACTTATTTTTTTTTGTATTTTTTTTTTTGATTGAGAAATTAAATTTTAAGTAAAACAACTTGCAAATTACCAAAATATGAGTAACTTTTTTAATTCTTCAGTTTTTCACGTGCTAGACAACAGATTTGCTTTGTTTATAGAGCAGCAGAATCATTTTCATTATTGAAAAAAAGTGGAACGCATTTTTTGGGGAAACCCTCATTCAGTATTAAAATGTTTTACTAACTAACTGTTCCCTAACTGATGATCACTAACTGTTTGTGGACTGGGAAAATTGGTTTTAAAAAATTCACAAGCTTTTGGACAAAAATATTTTTCGCAGTTAATAATTTGAAAACAAAAAAATATAAAAAATAAGTGTTTTTTTAATAAGACAAATATTTAACATTTATAATTTTGTAAATGCTAACGTGCTTTTATTTCTTAAAGATTAAAAAAAAATGGTCAAAATCTTATTTGCCAATTTCTACCTTG